ATAAATCTGCAGTAAATTTTAATTTGTCCACACATACAAAAATTTTGTTGTTTCCACATTAAATTTTATAACGGATATATTTTAATTACTATCTAATTCTTATTACGGACGCATTTCCAAAAAAGAACCATCGTTTTCCTTAAGCTTTAACATTAACATTTCTTAGCATTTCTATTTCAAGTGTTACATAACTTCGTTAAATTTTAGATATCTTTCACAGCTTCACACATTTGAAGTCGAATATCTTTAATCAGTCGAAATTTAACATTGCGCAGGTACCATTACATTACCTACTCATAAGAATTCACGTTTGTTTAGTTTTTTTCACCCCTGAGCATTTTCTGAATTTCTTCTAGTGATTTTCCTTTTGTTTCGGGTATATAAAACCAAGTGAACAGCGCCACTAGTATGCAAGAACATGCGAAAAGAAAGAAAGGAGCATACATTCCAATCCCATCTCTCATATACGTGTAGATGTAGATCGATATTATGGAAAACGTGATGTACATGGCGTCTGCCATTGTCATTCCCATGGCTTTGACATTCGTAGGGAACAATTCTCCAGTCGTTACAATTGGCACTAGACCAAGACCAAATTTAAATACGAACGAATACATGACAACTGACGCGAATGGAACCCAACCGTAAGAAGCTTTTACATCTTCGTTTGCCTGTTTGGCAGCAAAATACGAAGCTAAAAACACCAAAGATACTCCTGTGGCTAAGCTGGAAGCAAGTAATAGTTTTTTTCTTCCGAACTTATCAATTACTAGAGAGGCCCCTATGCAAGCTGTTAACATCAAGGCTGCCACAATAATTGATGCGGTGTTATTAGAAATAAATTCTTCTGAATCTTCTAAAATCGTGTGCATATTCATCAGCAGAACACTGATACTGCTAAAATGTTGGGCAGCATTTAATACAGTCATAATTATCACACCTTGGAAATTACTTTTAACGATAAAGAGATCTATAATACGTCCCTTCTCTGATTGCTGTCTTTCCACTGCCTTCGAAATGTCTTCCAGTTCTTCTTTCACCTCTGTTGTATTCCTCACCCATTGTAAAGACTCCAGCGCTTTGGCTTGTCTTCCTTTAATTAGATGGTAGTAAGGGGACTCGGGCATCATTAGGAATAATAAAAATTGAAGTATTACAACACCAAGACCCACATAGGCAGTACTTGCGATGGTTACATAAGGAGCTACACTGTATAACACAAGCACACCGAGCATCATGTTGCTATATATAAATGTTCCTAAAAATCCTCGAACTTGTTTGTCGGCAATTTCAGCAATGTACATGGGAATTGCTACAAAACCTACATTTCCTGCGAGGCCAGCCAAACACCTTGCAGCGTATAATATCTCCACTCTATCAGCAAATGCTATCAGCAACCAGGCAACTGCATGTTGAATTGATGCGAATAAAATCGACGGCTTTCTCCCAAATGTATTGACAAACCAAATGGTCACTATTAAACCACCTAGGCCACCAAAACTGTAAATGTTTTCCAACCATATTTCGTGAGATGAGTTAATTTCTACGGGACTATCTTCAGATTCCAGTAAGGGAATAGATGGAGCTGTCCAGGCATAGTGCATACCATCTGATATTGCTCCAATGGTTCCTGTTATATTAATAAATTATTAATTAAAATTGGTTTTAAAATTAACACACTCATTCAGTCAATAGTGGCGTGTAAAATCGGTTTTGACTTGCAACATTGGACTTGGTCTTGAAAAACACAAGACCAAAGCCAACTTGAAAGATCATACGTGATTCTATCTGCAAGACCTAATCAACAACAAAGACTAAAAGCAAAAATAGAAAAAATAATAAATAGATGTTTCTGGTCTTACTATAATACATAATGTAAAACAATATTTTCAATAATATTTACTTTCCTTTCATATTAAATTATCTACATTACAGAAGATAAATTCAAAGTAATAATAATAATTTAGAATAAAGCCTAATAGTACTTAAACAAAACAAAAGAAAAGACTATAGATACAATAAAATGTGTGCCTGTTAAAAAAATCTTTATGCTAAATTAGAATGTATTTTAGGAAAAATATAAGGTTCCTAACTACTAGAAAATTTCCAATAATTTTATCAGTACCAAACTAGCCGTCAATGATAAGTAACATAATTGTTACGAAGATAGTATACTTTGTGAAAATGCATGTGGTTTTCGTTTTATGATTACATTAATGTGTATGTTAACGGAAATGTGTGTAGTCCGTCATTGAATACAATTCCTAGGAAATGTATATAATAAAATCTCCCGGAAATGTGTGAAATAAACTATATTAGACACATTTTCTAGGAAACCCATACATTTCCTAAATAGCAACCGGAAACGTATTACAGGTAATACTAAACAGGCAATAATACGGTACGCTGTTTGGAGATGTACCTATATCCGTTGGTGACGTTATTGTTTGGTTAGGGAGATTTATGACAGACTGGAGTTTCTTTAATGCTCCTGCCCGCCGAAGGAAGGCTGATATGTTAAATGTTAAAATAATGTAACGAAACTATTTTTGTTTCAGCAAACACGATGACCTTGAATTTTTAGGATGTTATAGAGGTGATAATCCTCATTGTTTTCATATACATATGTTGAGCGCGGAGATCATTATGAAGCATACTTTTCGAAGACATTATTCCGACATATCAGCCCGCCTCGGCGGGCAGGGGCATCATAGAAACTAAAGTCTATCATAAATCTACCTACTAACCATATAATAACGTCACTAATGTATATACATCTCCTAACCTAACCTAGCCAAACAATAACGTCACCAATGCATATACATCAGGCGATTGTACTATAGGGTTGTTCGGAAAGTCATTTCGTTTTTTTTGTGGAAATGAAAGACAGTTTTCGTATAATAAACAAATGCTTTATTAAATTATATATTGACCGTTCTGGTCCAACACCTTTTGCCATCTTTCTGGTAGTAGCATAATTCCACGCTCATAAAATTTTTGGTCTTTGCTGGCAAAAAACTGATCGAGGAGGTTTTTGACCTCCTCATTTGAGGTGAAGGTTTTACCGTCTAAAAAATTTTGGAGTGACCGGAACAAATAATAATCCGATGGTGCCAGGTCTGGAGAATATGGTGGGTGTAGCATTGTATCCCATTCAAGCTGTAAAAGCTTTTGGCGAGTGACCAAACTTGTGTGAGGTCTCGCGTTGTCTTGGTGAAACACTACACCTTTCCTGTTGATTAGTTCTGACCTTTTCTGTTGAAGTGCATCATTCAGTTTGTCCAGCTGATGACAGTAGACTTCCGAATTAATCGTTGTGTTATCCGGTAAAAGCTCAAAAAAAACGATTCCTTTAAAATCCCACCAAACAGACAGCATCACCTTTTTTTGGTGAATATCGGCTTTGGAAATGGTTTGAGCCGGTTCATCTTTTTTGCTCCATGACCTCTTGCGTTTGACGTTGTTGTATACAACCCATTTTTCGTCCCCAGTGATGATGCGCTTCAAAAACGGATCATTTTCGTGACGTTTGAGAAGCGAATCGCAGACGTCAATGCGGCGACACAGATTTCTCTCTGTGAGAACATGGGGAACCCATACATCGAGCTTCGAGGATAATCCCAGGCCTTTCAAGTGGTCATAAACTGTTGAATTTGATAAATTTAACCTCAATCCGATCTCACGTGTTGTTATTCGCCGGTTCACATCAACTAATGCCTTTATCGCGTCTTTATCAGCTTCAACCGGCCTTCCCGAACGTGGTGCATCTTCGACATCAAAATTGCCGGATCGAAATTTAGCGAACCAGTTCTGGCACTGGCGTACTGTCAACACACCTTCTCCATACACATCAGTCAATTTCTTTCTGGCTTGAACAGCATTTTTACCCTTTCTGTAGTAAAACAGTAAGATATGTCGAAAATGCTGCTTATCGCTCTCCATATTTAAAAGGGCACCAACCAAAAACTACTGCGTAGAATTAATTGGAATTTTTCACACACAAGCCTTGCTATATGAGCTCTCGAAGCATATAAAAATTAGACGGCTTAAATGTGAAGTTGGGTGCAAAAGAATACAATTAAATCCTCTGTCGGATAAAAACGAAATGACTTTCCGAACAACCCTATAGAAGCGCGCAAACACAGATAATTCTGATTCTCAGTTTACTAACGTATTTTATTCGTTTTATTAACAGAAAGTATTAGTTTTATACATTATCGGACAATTCCTAGGAAATGTGGGTATTAAAAAATCTTTGAAACAATATTAATAAGATTTTTATTAAATAGATTTCTTAAATAACCTCGAAATTGTATACGATTCCTAGAGTTCATACCTTTCCGGTAACATATAGGTACATTAATTCGAAACTTCAGATTTGTTTTCTTGGTGTTCAAATAATATACATAAATGGAGGGCTATGAAACTTATAACAAATGTAAGGTCGCCTACTATTAATGTACATAAAATAAAAATCACCTGTGTATGTTGTCGTTAATGACAGGAATAGTAGGAAAAAAGGTACTGTATCGATGGAGAATTAGATACACACGGTTAGTTTGATTCTTAGCCGAGGCTTCGTACTTTTTTAGATAAAATACGTTGGTCGAGTACCGACCACACGCGGTTTTTAATATTTATTATCGAATAATATTAATACTCAAATGTGAATAACTTTGTAGATTTATAACTCTGTAGGCAATAAAAGAAAATAAGATCGGTTTCTAATACAAGAATAAACCCAATCTATCAAATACTGAAGTGAATTTGACAGATTAATGATGATTTATCGGTTAAAAATCCACTATATCTAT